ACATCTTAGAAAATTGTTAGGTACCTTCCAAAAATATGTTTTGTGAGTGTGAGTAGTACTTCTCCCGCCAGGGAAAAGTATTTTTAATTATGTTGTGAGTATGTATTATATAGTGTGATGTAAAAATTATTATATGAAATAAAACAGTTGGTTTCTATACCTCTCTTCTTATAATTTCATAAATAGTCTTAAAGTGAAGGTTGCGATCTTCAGCCTTAAGGAAGAACAGTGAGGAAGTAGCCGTAAACTGAGGTTGTTGGGCGAAAAACTGTTCATGGCCTGAAGGGAGAACTTCTGAGGAAGTGATAAGGACTGTTCATCGAAGAAAGAGAAGGAAGGTATACACGCAAACTTTTATTTCATTATTAATTTTACAAATACACTATATATACTGTACTTAGGCATAAGCAAAAATACTTAGTATCTAAAGGGAATTAATCTTTTATGATGATAATCATGCTATTTGCATATCATGTCGAAAGACAGAAAGCTTTTACATATTTATAAATCTTAAAATGAGATTTATTCAAAAACCTCTTCACAGATTAAGAGATAGAACATGGAGAGCTAGAAAAGCCTTGCTCCATATGGATAGAGCTATTAAGGAGTTAGAGCTAGTACGTAGATATGCTAGTTATCCTTATGAAACTCTTAAGTTCTCAAGAGATGAACTAATAATATATAGAAATCAAGAGTATTTTGAATACAAAAATGCTATGCTATTTCTAAAGCATTATACAATTTTTACTGCATAAAATTCCGCAACCCTGTTTATATACAGCAAGAAAAATATTGGTATCAGAGCCATGAACTTAGATAAAAATCTAGTAAAACCATTCTGGTTTATAGAAATAAGAACCTTAATAACCATTTTAAAGGTTATAAAAGATTTAGATGAAGATCTAAAAAGAAAAATTGTCTCGATAATTACTCTTAGGAATAAAAAAGAGGAAGAAAGACAAGAATTAATTTATAATTCATTTAGCTTTCATGATGAAGCTAATATGATGGATACTTCTGATTATTACTATTCAGAATAAAAAATGAGTCTAAAAGAAATTTTAGAATCAATTAAAGATCTGATAGAAAGTAATAAACAATTAACCTTACGGTTAAAAAATGATAGAAATAGAAATCAATTATATCAAAGAAAATCTTCCAGGAAGAATAACAAATATAATTGAAAAAACAGAAAAATTTGACAAAAGAGTTAGTCAAAAATACATAACTGACTTATTAATAAAAAACTGCAAGTGCAAACACTTATCAAAAAGGAAGTATGGACGAATTATTAATCCAAAATTTTCTTGAAAACAAAACTAAAAGATATTGGAATCTTTTATAAAATTTAAGATAAAAAGTTTTAGGAAAATAACTCTGAAGAAACTAATTCAGAAATAAAAGAGGATCAAAATGATGAATGAACTTGAAGATATATATATTATTAAAATACTAACAAATATGCAACCTAGTATTAGTATAAACTAAATGTGTAAATGTTGAAGTTGTGACTACTCTATTTCAATTGAAATGTAATTGATTAACAAAAGGAGTTGTTTGTACTTTTTATAATTTATATTTTTTTACATGTGTAATGTGTTAGTATGATATGATTGAAACTTTTTGTGAATTGTTGAAGTCATAATACTCTATCATACAAGTATATATTAGTCGAAGTTGAACCAACTATGTTACCGATTTTATCATATCGTAAATTATCAAAATCAAACTTTAAAATACCGAACCATATCGAGTCAAATTAATATGATAATGATATACTCCCTCCGTTTCAAAAAGAATGTCATAGTTTGACTTGGAACAGAGTTTAAGAAAAGAAAGAAACTTTTAAATCTTGTGGTTCTAAATTAAAGTTATGTCAAATGTACCAAAATGTCTTTTAATCTTGTGGTTTTAAATATGCCATGTGGAAAGTTGAAGTAAGTGTTGCCAAAAAAGGAAAAAAATCATTTTTTTAAACAGACTAAAAAGAAAATGATGTCATTTTTTTTTAAACTAAGGGAGTAATAATTTTATAAATCGAACTCAAAATTACTATAGCAAAGTTTCAGATGCTGTCATACCATACCATACCATACCCATGATGTCATTCTTTTTGAAACGGAGGGAGTAATAATTTTATAAATCGAACTCAAAATTACTATAGCAAAGTTTCAGATAGTGTCATACCATACCATACCCATTCCTACCCACAACTAGGGGTGTACAAGTCAAACCGTAAAGTCAAACCGAACCGACGAACCAAATCAAATTGGAAAAAAGAATTGATTTTTGGTTTGGTTCGTTTGGCGGTTGAAAAAAAAACCGACCACTCTTGATTTGGTTTGGTATTAAAAGAAAAAAAATCAAACCCAAACCAAACCAAACCGACATAATAGGTATTAAGATCCGAACTTACAATTATATTGTTATAGTTTTTCAAATTCAAAGTTAACAATTTACTTTGTAAATATTTGTTTTGTATTCAGTTTGCATGTAGCCTTTAATCTTATTAATTTAACATAATGAGCATTGCTATTTCAAAAAAAATATTTTGTACTCATGTGAATTTTACCGTCTTTTCAAAAAATTATATTCATTCAACATTTTTAAGTTTAGCTTATCACACAGGTAAGTGAAAATATATTTGATCTCTTCTTCAAACACCGTAAAGTTATAAAAAATCGAATAACCGAAAAAACCCGAAAGAACCGACTAAAGCCGAAACCGAAAAAACCGACTTTATGTGGTTTGATTTGGTTTTTAGATTTAATAAACCGACATAATTGATTTAGATTTTTTTAATGAAAAACCAAATCAAACCGACCTATGTACACCCCTACCCACAACCCAATTAGAATAGTAATTTCTGGATATAATAAGGAAGATGTAGCCTTTGTCCCTATAAAAAATAATTCATAAATATATTAATTTTGTCCCTACGTGGCTACATGTAAAGTCAAATTATTCTTGAACTATATATAAGATCACTCAACAATTGTGTTTTAATCATCCAAAATTAAATTAACTATAATGACGGAGGAAAATAGTGATTAAATTAGAATTATTTCACAAAGTTTAGTAATAAATTTAAACTATTTTAAGTGCAATGACAAATTTATAGGAACATGTTCAGAATATGAGATTTATATGAACATGCTCAGAATACGAGAGTTAAAACACTTAATTTTGATCATTAATTTGAATATAAATTCTTTAAATATTTTAAAATAATTTTTTTATATTTAAAAACTATAAAAGAAAAATACTTAAGTCAATATAACTAATAGGAATAATTCATAATATTTTTAGAAAAAATAAAAAAAATTATAATTAAATAAAAAATTATTTGATTCTCAAAATAAAAATACGGAAATGTCAAAAAGGTCCCACCTATCAAAAACCTTCCGTCGGATAGCCATTATGGGCAACATCTAACCACTTCTATTTATGAAGAAAATTGGATCGTGAATGTGAATGTGAATTGTGACAAATGATGAATTTGGATACTTTGACCAAAGCTTGAGATCAATTTAGATAGTACTTCTTTCGTTTCATATTATTTGATATTTGCGAATCTGACATATCTTTTGGCTTGTTTTATAAAAATATATTTTATTATTAATAGTTTTAAAAAATTAAATTTAATTAATATCATTTAATATAGTTATTTATTAAAGAATATTAAAAAAAAAATTAATAAACACTCTCAATTGATTAAAATGAATAAATAAAATAAAATATTTATATTTTACGTATGAATTAAATAAAATTGAACTCATTTCGAATCAGGTTAGAAAAAAAATAGCTCAAATGATACAATTCCTCGATCACCTCAAATTGAATTATAGTTATTAATCTGTAAAGATACGTTATTAAATATTTCATTTTATTTTTCAGTGAGGCCGAATTTAAACATATACTCGAGAGATAATTGTTCATACATCAATAACGAAATCTAAATTCTCGAAAAAAGAGGAATCGTGATGGTCCGACCGCCGGAAGTACTTCCCATGATTTCCTTAACTTTATTAACAGAGTCGCTCCAAAACATTTCTTTTACATGTTTTTTTAGTTTCATATCTCAACTTTTTCCACATTTTATCTACTTAAATCATTACCCTCATTGTACATGTATATCAAAGTTGACTAAATATTTATTTTCAAAGAAATATTAAATACGCAAAGAAATAATTAATTTTAATTTATTTTTATTATTTAAACTCTCTTTTTTTCCATCTAGTATCAGGAGTCTGAGTCTGCATTGGAGTCTTAATTAAATTATTAAATTTGGATTGCATACTCCAGTCTCATTTGAGGATGGTGCTTCCAACAAAATTTTCTTTCTATAAGACTTGAACCAAGTGGTGTGCATCGATCGTTTCAGTTGGATTTTATGTATTATCGATTTTCGATTTATCAATCTTTGATCATTCACGGTTCAGATTTCGGTTTACCCAAATAAGAAAATGCTCATAAAATAAATATATGATTTCTTACTTTTCCAACAATTTGGCACAATACAGTGAGACAATCAAATCAGCTATAAATACTTTGATATAGTGAAACAAGAAATATAATGAGAAATTGCATCAATAAGAGTAGATATAGTATGAAGGCTACAATAACATGTTACAACCAAAACATAATATGGAATTTCTGATGTGAAGTAGAAGTACTATGACATGTGAAATGTGTGTAGACCGTAGTGTAGAGAAGTGATATAGTGTCCAGTTATGTTAAATTATTAATATTTAATATTTATGAAGGATATAGTAGTAACTTACTATCGTCTTAATGAGTTATATTAACCCAATATTAAAAATCGTTACCAAACCGATAACCGATAAATTTTTTTATAAAACTCTTTTCTTTTTCATTCTTCTGGAAGTGATGTATAAGGAGATTCAGTTCATATTTATCCACACCAAAATTAACATTATAAATACTCTATGCCGGTCTCCTTCAAGTTTTGAATATTAAATAAAGAGATCTGGAAAAAAAAAACTGTGAAAATGTTTCAAAGTTTTATGTTTGAAGAGGAATCTTCAATTATCACAGCAATAACTGTGATAACTTTTTTGTTTTTAGCTTATTTGGGTGTTTCTGAAATTGCTGGAAAACATCTCCAATACTCCAAATTTTGGAATGTTAATGCAAATTCTGGTTCCTCTAGTAGTAATTTTCTGCAGGGGAAAATGTCTAGTAAATTAGGGATGTTTATACTTTATGCACCTGCTTCTGTTATGGGTTTTGCTTCATTTTTTATGTACCCAGATGGTGGAACTAGGTTTATGTTGCTTAAATCTGCTGTTACTATACATTTCTTCAAAAGGGTTCTTGAGGTAAACTTTTTTTTTCTTTTCAATTGACGGTCATAGCTTAATTGTCGATAAATATATTTTGTTAATTGATGTGCATATTTATTGCTGCTAAAAGTTATTTTTGTTGAAGTGTATATGTAGAAGTTGGTCATATTGTGAATACAAATATAGAGGAAATTCTCTCAAAATATTCTTGTCTTTATTGTTTTCTAGTTTCAAGCTTTACGTGGTATCATAGTCAGGTTTACTTGTTCTATGTGGTGCCCTTGACTGTGTGGGGTTGTGAATATACACCTTGTGGAATCTCAGATAAAGAATGTTCAGATCCGGGCGGATGTGAGGGAATGTTGATGAGAATGATCCCACATTGGACTGGGACGAAAACATTAGGCTCTGGTTTTGGGCAATCCTCTCCGTTTGAGCTAGTAGCTTTTGGGGTGTGAGTTAGGCCTAATGCCTTGACGGACTCAATTGAATTTGGGTAATACATACTAGTGTTTTTTTTTTGGTTATTTTTGATGATCTTTAGAATCAGTTGATGGAAAATATTTGGAGCTATGAACTTATTTGGAGATTCCTTGGCTAGCATTTCAGGTTCCTCTCCCTCCATATAGTCTACAAGATAGAAATTTGAGTGGTCTTCCGAATTTACCGGTACTTTTCTGTTGCTTCCTTCCAAACCAATTGAAGAATGTTGCAATTACTGGTCTAGGCATATAGTACCTATTGCACTGATTGGATTCCGTTCTTCTCCGTAGTTGTTGACAAGGCCAAGGTCTAGACTTATGTTTGAAGCTAAACTTCCCACTACGGTTTCCTTTGCATTTGACTGTAGTAGCTTCAGGGGAATGAGGTTAATATAACACGATCATGTAGTTCGTTTGACAATGAAATGATCATGTAATTTCTCTCTCATTGAGTATGCCTAAGCCAATGATCCTACTAGAATTTAGTCTTCCGTCTGTCGTAGTAAATGTTTTCATGAAACTCTTCCTATAAGTTCTTGATATGTGCACCCAAGAGGCCTAGTAGTCACGAAATGGGTTGAGAACTATGAGGTCTCAAGTTCAAATCCCAACGGAGACAACAAAAACACTAAGAGGTCGTTTGGTAGAGTGTATTAGGAAAAATAACGCATGCATTAGCATTGTGTATTACTAGTACCTTGTTTGGTACTCTTTTCCAACCTTTGTATAATTAATGCTTGCATTAGTTATACACTCTATTGTGTATTAAGGTGTGTATTGCTAATACCATGAATTTCTAGGTATTAGCAATGCAATGGTTTTAATGCATGCATTAATACTAATGACAAAAACTACCCTCTAAGCCTAATAATAATAATAATAATAATAATTATTGTTATAATAATTATAATAATAATAATAATAATAATTATATAATAATAATAATAATGGTTTAGGGTTTAGGGTTTAGGTAATAATAATTATTATTATTATTATTATAATAAGAATAATTATAATAATAATAATAATGTGGGGGTATTTTTGTAAACAAATATTTTTTAATAGTCTTTATACAAGGCTTGCTATTTCCAATACATCAAACCAAACAATGTATAAAAAATAATGCAAGCATAACTAATGCAAGCATTACTAATACATCATATTCAGCATTATTCTTATACACTCTACCAAACGACCCCTAAATGATTTCATCTCATTTGTTCTAGCCTTGGTGGATAGAGTTAGCTGATATTTATTGCTGGTGAGAGGTGACAAGGATCCCCTGGAATTAGTCGAGGTGTATGACACCACGGTTATCAAAAAAAATTATGTCTTAAAAACCTTCGTCATTTAGAGAATCTTCGTTTGCTATTGTGTACCTGCATAGCCAGTTATATAGGAGGCTCCTGTTGTGTAAGCCTTCCATCCTTTGCACCTAAACTACCATATTTTTTGGTACTATCACTTATTTTTCCCACTGTTCAATATACTGTTCTTGCTGCTTGATATTGCCTTTATATAGCATACAAGATTCCTACTTCGTTCCACTAGTTCATACCATTCAATGCTATCTTCAGCATGATCTAGTGATTCGAAGTATTCATCCCAAACAAGGAACTACGTAATTTGTTCCAAACTGATTGCTTTGTATTCACTAGAAATCTGATATAGATATATATCCGTGCTGCTTATATTAATCCGATTCTGTTGTCATATGTTCATGCACTACACCTGTATTATTCTTCAGACGAGACAGTTACTTTGAGGAGTAACGAGCTTGCCCATTCTGTTTTGCAGGTTCTGTTTGTTCACAAATACAGTGGTGGGATGATCCTTGGATCAGTACTCCTTATTTCATCCTCCTATTTTATGGTTGCTGCAGTCATGATCTACATCCAACACTTAACTCTACAATATACGGAGCCTGAAATCGATCTGAAGTCTATCGGTGTACTGATATTCTTAGTCGGAATCAGTGGCAACTTTTATCATCATTACCTCCTTTCCAAGCTCAGAGGCAGTAAAGAGAAGGGCTATAAAATTCCGCAAGGCGGCCTTTTCAGTATGGTCATATGCCCTCATTATCTTTTCGAGATTCTGTGCTTTGTAGGGATCTCATTCATCTCCCAGACATCGTTTTCGTTTTGCTGTGCTGTGGGTGTAGCTTTATATCTGTCAGCAAGGAGTAATGTTACTAGGAAATGGTACCTTTCTAAATTTGAAAATTTTCCTAAGAATGTTAAAGCTTTGATTCCTTTTGTTTTCTAGAGAAAATGATGTACTTATGTTAAAGCATAATTTGTCACCTGTTGGAATAATGTAAAATATATTGTCAAACCTCTCTATAATAGTGTTGTTAACGTTTTGGTTCTTAAGAAATTGTCCATTATAATGAAATTTTATAATAGAGAATGGATGTTATAGAGAGGTCTAACTGTATCCATTTTTGTTCAAAATATACTTGAAACTCCAAAGCTATGTTAATATGACTATATGAGGAAGGGTGTTGAGTTATTATAATGTAACATTATTATAAAGAGGTTTGACCGTGTTACTAAACAATTTTGACCATATTACTAAACACAAATTGAAACATAGATGCATGCATTACATTCAAGCCTTTCAAAAGGAAAAGAAAACAAAAGTCAACATATCTTCTTTGCATGAATTCGAAATTAGTCAGGCTTCAGAGTAGGTCCAACAGGCTGGCATCACCGAGTGAAAAAAAAAAAAAAAAAAAACTAACATAGCTTAGTGCAATAGCACTTAAGTTGGATACCAACACAATTACCACCAGAGAAGCCTTCATTTCTGCAAACAATAGCACAATTGTGATCATGCCAACATGGACCATGATAGCTATGGCTAGGTGACATATATACAAACTCTTGCTTCTACTTGTGGCATCATTATTCCCATTTCTGCATAATCCATATATATATATATTTATCAACAATAAGTTGGATACCAACACAATTACCACCAGAGAAGCCTTCATTTCTGCAAACAATAGCACAATTGTGATCATGCCAACATGGACCATGATAGCTATGGCTAGGTGACATATATACAAACTCTTGCTTCTACTTGTGGCATCATTATTCCCATTTCTGCATAATCCATATATATATATATATTTATCAACAAAATAAAATAAAATTAATTAGTTGAGGTAAATTGATGTACTAAACAAAAACAGGACTTAGATACAAAAATCGTCGTTAAATAATCCATAGCTAACACGATTTTTTGATAATCTGTCTGATCTAATATATTGTTAAATAAGATTAATGACGAACTTTTATAGTTTAAGGACAAAAGTTATCCATCGCTATTTTTTTTTTGTAGTGACGGTTAGTATTACCATCAAACCTTGTTATAACAATATTTTTCTACAGTCATAAATTCATGAGGAATTAAAGACTAGAAGTTTTTTTTCGTTTATAACATAGAAAGGACAAAAAAGTAATTTTGCATACTTTTGTTTATAACAGTTAAATGAGATCTCAACGTCAAATATGAATATACATATATAACAATTAACAACACCTCACTATAGCAGCCGTAAAACTTTAAGACAAACAGTACGCTGCCACTATAGAAAGGTTTAATTAATGTTGAATAAATTTAGTAGTATAATGAATACTAACAATCTGAATAGACGGTTAATAATTCATATATTCGATCCCAACTGATTAATTAAGATTGATAAGTGCTTAATTAATTGATTGATTTATGAGATAAGGAAAGAGTGAACAAGTAGATTTAGGACAAAATAACGAAAACAAATAAAAATGGAGACTTACGTGAGGCAAAAATCAAGAGAATCACAAAGAAAAACCCAAAAATTTTCCTCTCCATTTCTTAATTGATTTCAGCTAAAAAAATGTATTTAGAAGGCTTTACTCTTTAGTTCAAGGTGGGAAAAGAGTTAAGAAACATTGTTATATATAGATAATATATGGGGGGGGGGGGGGGGGTTTGAGGGGGGTTGGTATTAC